GGTACACGAAAACTCTTAAAATTTATAACTATGCGGGAATTTTTATGAACGTCACTGTAAGTAAATAAGCACAGATAATTATTGTATAAGTTTTTTGCTTATATGATTACCTACAATTATATGAAAAGTATAATTTTTTATTTGTTTGAAACATGATAACGTTCAGTTTATTTTGTACTTAGTTATTCTGAAATTGATTGATTATGACTACCAAAAATATTTTCAAAAGTAATCGTATTATATCAATTGCCTCTATCTGAATTTTTTTTCATTATTTTGTTTACTTATACTATTTGAGTACCTACGTCTATGCATACATAGAAATTTTATCAGATTAATGATAGTTGCTTAAAATAGATAATACTTTTATATGGTGCTATCAATAACCTAGAAAAATGAAGATAGTTAATCAATATCATTTTTATTTTCTGTGTGTTTTGTTCCTTTAGTTTTGTTATTGTTTAGTGCTTTCTTATATATATTTTTGGATAATAAAATATTATTTAAATTAATGATGAAAATTACAAATTATTTTTCAAATACAATTACTTAAATATAATTTTGTAAAAATTGTTTTGAAAAATATTAAAATTATTGTTTGCAGCAAGATATATACCGACATATACTTTCATTTTAAGAAATTTTTTTTAATATTGTGCTTAATAATTTAGTAGAATCACTTATTCGTAATTATTTAGGAAGAGTTTATATATTAAATTTTTGTTCCTTGGAACAATTTTTAACTCCGTTTCTATATAGCTAATTACTGCACAATATTAATGAAAGTGCAATAGGTTCTTAAGCTGGTCATTTAAATTTATTTGAAATTACCAAGTTTTTAAATTCCCTATAGTTTAAATCAAGTTGAATTTGAAATTCGACTTGATTTAAACTAGGTAAATTCATTTTTAGCTTTTAGTTTCTAGAATCCTCGGTCAAAACCAAAATCAATTTTTAAACTCTGTAAATGCAAAATTACAAGGATATGCTTCCTCTAACGGCAGCCTGTCGAATTGATTATCAAAACTAGCTTTTATTTTTAATCAATTTTTTGTAATTCTTATGTCATAATTTCTCCTACATTGCAACTTGGATGTGGGTCTGAAATTTTCAGGGTTTATTAAATTTGATAAATATTTTGTTTCACTAGAACAACGTTTCTTTGTAACTCAAAGATTGCGTAATGTCAATTTTCAGTTCCCTATTTCTTCGACTTTATAAGCCTTATAAAACTTCTGTAAAATTTACCTTAAAATTACTATTGGTATTGCAAAATAAAATGACAATATAATTTAAACTATATTTTATAGTAGTACAAATTTTTCAAAATTTATTACTATAAGATTTCTCGCAAATGCATGCAAAATTATTTAGTATAGTAAGAAGATTTTTTAAATAAATTTTTGTCTTTTGTGGGTAAGCTGTAGAATTTAAAATGTAAACGGGAAATGCTTTTGATTATAGATAACTTAAGTTATGCTCTCTTAACAGAATCTCTGTTATTAAATCTACTTAAAACAGAATCATATCGAACATATAATTAACTATCGACTTTTAAATATAATTTATGTAATAAACATTTTTCTACTCTAAGTTTATTGAAAAATTGTCAAAAGCACATGTTGGAAATTTTTCAACAACTGCAATTCATTTTATATTTCAAATATTTCAAATAAATTCTCTTTTAATGAAAAATGAGTAGTTTTATACATGCCTATTAAATATGGTCATAGCTACGTACCTTCATAAAATTGAAAAAAATTCTCTATCCACTTTATAAACTTATAATTTAACATTATAAGTACATACTTTATATAGGTACATATCTATTATATTGTAAAAAGGTATCAACTAGTAGATGTACATGTATAGCTTAATGTAATTAAATATATAGTTGTGCAATCATTAAGCATTCGAAACATTCAATAATCACGTCTCTGCAGCGGAGAATAATTTATAATTTTTTCCTGCCAACAAGATAATACTCGTAATTTCTTTCTCCCCATCATAAATATTTTTTTATGAGTACTATAGATTTAGTTTTAAAATTTAAATGCTAAAATACAATAAAACAAACAAATATAATAGTTATGCTGCTAAAGTTGTTTATGACATATTTATGGTGAGTAATATAAAATGCGGTTACAATTAACAGCAGAATTTATAGATGGAAAATACAAATGCAGATACATATATGTATGCATTTAACTGCAACATTGTTGCAAAAAATTAATTAATTTTTATGAATGAAATTCAATACTTTGTTATTGATAATGGATAACTTATTTTATATTTTAAATTTTAAATTTACTTATGTGCTCTTTTTAATTTCTTGCAATTTTGCCCATAAAATATTTATTTCTTCTTTAACATTTTAACATAATATGTAACATATACATACATTCATGCATTTCATGTATAGTAATTACTTAAGTTGCAATAATATGTGAACTATGTTGAAGGTTATTTTGTGGTAATTATTGTAATATTTAATATGATAAGTACTTAAAGTATTTAAACGTTTTAAATGATTGTGTCAAAATGAATTTTTAATAGAAAATTTCTAAATCTTTTCAAAATTAGAGTTATTATATTGCGAGCTGCACCTCAGTTGTATAATATAATATGGATACGCACTTTAAGTTAGAGTTGCAGTATACGAGAAAAACTATGGTTCTAATTTAAAACTACAGAATGCTTTCACAATAATTTTTCAATTGATTTTAAATAAAGTTGGGTCAAACCAATGGTTTGTATTGTAGCAGTTTTCCCTTCAACAAGTGAAAATTCTGCTTTTTAATACAGTCTATGTATACCTGCCACACTATTAAAATAATTTTCTTTCATATGCGAAACTATTTCTAGCATTGCATATATTTATGATGAATAGTTTATGTAGTTTTTAAAATAAAGCAAAAATAAATATAAAGAGGGGCTAACATTATGCTCGATTTTAAGGGTTAATTGCGTAAGTTAAGTGAGTTAAGAAAAATAATTATATTTTTTAATGTTATAGAACTTACCGTTAGCTTTTTGGGTAAATTTGGTAAATTTTTGGTAAATTTGGAAAAGCTTGTATTTCCGGAAATATAAGACGTCAAAAATTTGAAAAAACGGATTTTATGTAACGGTAAATTTTAACGGCCATTTTGTTTTTTTAAAGTTCGAGTATAGTACAGTGTGATAGAAGAAGCAACCCACTGCTTTTCTGCGTTTGTAAAATTTGAAAAATACATATGGTTCTACTACAGTAAATAGTTGAGAAATGGCATTTTTAGGGTTTAGTGGGATATAATTTTTAGAGGGGGAGAGATATGTAAATATTATGTTCTACGAAAATTAGTTTCTAGTAAAGATCTATGTACATATAAAATTTCAGGTTTCTCTCTTCAAGGGTGCAGAAGTTTTGTAAACAGACACAAGGACAGACGGACGGAAGGACGGATGGACAAATGGACGGACAGAGTGAAACTTATAAGCACTTTTTTTCAAAAATTTTTTGGAAAAGTGCTAAAAAGATATAGCTAGTGCGAACTGTACCGTAAGATTTAAAATAATTTATGACAGAAACAAATTTAACTTAAGTACAAATAAGAAAATATTAAGAAAATTCTATTTTGTGAACCATTTTTTCATTTCAGGCATTTGAAATAGAAACTGTAAGCTGTAAACCTTCATATTTGTTTTCTATTTTTATTATGATTAAGTATGCCATGCTTGTACCATAACTTTCATCAACGTTTGAACTATTGAAGGTAAAGATTACGAATTTTGAAATCGACTTTATTTCGTAGACATGTTAGACCATTGTTAAAATGGAATATCAAAATAGCTTGTATTTTTTTGTGAAAACTGTTTCCAAGATTTTAATGCAATGTATTCAAAGTTTTAAATGTAATTAATTAAATTTTTAAAATTTTTAAATTTTGCATCATCATTCATTAATATCATGTAAATTTTTGTTACAAATCTCTATACTTATTATAATTTCTAATTAATTAAAATTCCAATCAGCTACACTAACAAATAGAATTTTCTTGTTCAATATGCTTATTTTTAGTCGTATATTGCATTTTAACTACCCATATTTGTATTTATTTTGCTTTAAGTTTTATTTAAAATTCATACGCTATTTAAGTAAGTATAAATTACATTTTCTAAGTACTTATCTAATTTAAGCTATTGTAACATATGGAGTAACAAGCAACCAAAACGGGTGGGTAACCAAGTATATTAAACTATTAAGTACATTAGGTTCTATAACACTTAAAAATGCAAAATATAAAATAAGCACTAACGATATATAGTAGTAAATCTACCTTGAACTAACCATATAAGATAGAGCATTGTATTAGTATGTTAAACTATCCAAAAATTTTATAAACAGATGTGTTGCCAAACCATAGTAACTAACAACTTTAGTAAGAAAACTAGTTTAGATAAGGTTGCTGTTTTTTTGTATCTCATTTTATTGTATTATGTTGATAGAAGTAATTCATTGATATTTTCTTTTGCTTGATGCATGTTACTTATCTACTTAAGAAAAGTTGAGAATAAGTTTACCATTAGAACGCGTTCAATCATAAATTGTTTATTTGTTTATTTTATTCGTTTATTAAGGCATATAGTACTCCTGGAGAACAGGACGATTTCTGTGACGCCATTGGTTTTTTTGAAGTTATGTTTCATTTGTAGTGCTTTGAAAAAATATAAGACCAGAAATTGAAAGACAGAAGATGCAAATGTTATCGTTATTCAAAAATTATCATTTATGAGTGTAGAAATGTATCTTTATATCGTTAAAAATAGATTTATTAGAGTTTCCATTTAAAAGTAAAAGTAAATTTTCGTCTTTTACTATCAAAAAGTAGAACGAGCCATATAAGTACGCCTATGTATGTGTATTAGATATTTGAAACATAAATTGCTGAAAATATTACAAGTCTGTATGTATGTGAATGATTTTAAATATAAAAATATATATATTCAATTTTTCTTACCTTTAGAGTTTAGATTAAGTGAAAAAAAGAATCCAAAAATTATTCGTTTTGAACAAAAAAAATCAACACCTAAAATGTTAATAATACTGATTGTGTCTTAAATCGTCAAAAAATTATTTATACGTTATTCACTTTAACACACTTAAACTTTTTAATCACTGTATTTATTCTTCTATGTCACTCTATAAGTTATGGAATAGATATAAGTTACGGATAGATATTTTGCAAGTTTCTTTTTGTTTTTTGTTTTTTTTTGGATTTTGTTTAAAAAATTCCATTAACTAAATTTAAAAAGACATTTTAAAACACCACAAACAAATAAAATATTCGCAAATCATTTAAAGTATGTACTTATGTAAAATACGGTGTTATTTTTATTTTTTTCATTCTTGAGCTCCTCGACGAAACTACAATTGACAAAGTTATAGAAGAAACCAGAAGAAGTTTACTTTTTTTTTTTGTTTTAAGTCAATAACACATTGGCACACTAGTATTTATTTCGAAATGACACTTTTTTAATAACTATAATTAAGTATAAAACATAAATAGTTACTAGATCAGTTAAGAATTAAGCTCAATTTTATCGAATTATAACCAATTATTTATTCTGTCTTCTATTCAATACTTATTATAAATTAAAGTATTTGACTATACTGTTAATTAGTTCATGTTAAGCATATGAAAATAAAAAATTAATAAAATGGTAATTACTTGCAATTGAGTAAACTTTAATTACTTGTTATAAAAAACTTTGATTTTCAGTCTTCAAAATTATGGTCAATTAAATGTTATTGTTGTGGAATATTGATTTCTGTTATAATATCGAACATTTAAACTTTCCCTATATACTTGTACATTTTATGGCAACTATTTATAATGCTATAAAACTTTTTCAAATTATAAGCTTTATTATCTAAAAGAAGTCTAAAGTAGCATCATTCCAAATGAAATAGAGACAAAAGACAAAACTTGATAAGTATTTAAAAAACAAAAATTTAAATAACAAAGAAAATTATAAGAAAATTTTATTGCTAAAATACAATAAAAATAAAAAATTTATGAAAATTATCTTATTATAAAAATATAAAAATTTTAATGGCACAATATGAAGGTTAACATATTTGACCAATAAATATAATATTTCAAATGTCATTATTGTAAACTGAACATTCATATATGTATATATGTTTGTAAATAAATATATACATGCACATATTTTGTCAAGTGTGATAATTTGATATTATGAAGAAAAATTTCGTTTAAATTATTTAAAATATCTATTATTATAACTGAAGCTTTTATGATAAAATTTACATATTTTATGAAACGGTTTTAAAATATGTGGTATACCTATAAAAATTTTGGTACTAAATAAAAGCTAAAAAATTAAACTTGGTGTTTTTTAAAGTGTCATTAGTTGGAAAAAATTTGTATTTGAAGTAATTTAAAAAAATTGTTTTCAAATTTTAGGTAAAAAAAATATTTTTTTTGGGCTCTGATTCTGTTGTGTGCAAGCTATTTAAAGTTCTAATACAAATTGTCTCTATCGTAACAATCAAATGTGAAAATATTAGTTGTGATAATAAGCTAAAGTTATAAGTTTCAATTAAATTAAATTAAATTGATATTCCGAAACGGAAAAATTTGAGGGATTTTGTAATTAAAACTGAATTTGTAAAGTTCTAGTTTTGCTCAACTTTTCCATTTTTAGTTTGGTTTGAATGTGTAACTGCAAGGTTTTCCATTTCAGTGATATAGAACTTAGTTAGTCGACTTAGATCATTTTTTGTTATTGCTATCAATAAAATTGGGGGCTATTATAAAACAGCATTTCTTGTATTTGCTTTATAATATATTTTCAATTAAATTGGAAATGTGGATTTTCTTTAGTATGAATTCTACTCATGATATTACCTACTTATGTCATAAAATAATTATAAATTAAAGTATAAAATTTCTTTATTGAACCCCTTTAAAATCATTCTATTTCTTGAACAAACAAAATATAAAATCTTTCATTTTTATTACACTTATATGTAACTATTATTTGGCTATTTTTTTGTACTTTGATTCTTTTTATTTCAGACTTTTGTTTTCCAATTATTCAAATTATTTTTGTTATAGATAAAATTATACTTGAGCCTGTGTGCTTATTTATGCATATTTTTATAATCCAAACTTAATTTATTTAAGTATATGAGTTATTTATATGTACGAATATACCTAAATATACCGCGAAATTGTAATAAAAATTTTTTATTTGATATTTCAAAACGAATAAATATAAATTTAACATGCACATACAAACACATTTATTCGCACTTTGATTCTCAAATAGACAGGTAATCACCATTCTATTACAATAATAATGAGTAAACACATAAATGTGTTATGTATACTATACGTGTGTATATTATGTTTGTAAATATTTCCATAGTAAGCTAAATATGTATAATATTATTGTCATATTTGACATTTTAAGTACATTATGATTGTTTATATTTTAAAGAAAAATACTCTTTGATAATAACAATCATTATTATTTTACTTTAACAAATATTTGCGTAAAAATAATATTTAATTAAGTCCGAAAAAAAGTTTAAGTTTATTATTTAGTTTTTTCTTTTTTTTTAATTTTGCTCTTTAATATTCATTTGAAAAATTAGTTAAATAGCTTTTAAAATAAAATAATGAGTTTTAAAATAAAAAAGGCTAATATAAAATCTAATATAATCTACCTTGAAAAATAAATTATAAAAATAAAATACATTATGTGTACATGCGTATATAAGAATGTAATTACAAACTCTTATTGGAGAAAAAAAGAAAAAATTAATAGGAATAAAAAAACCAATATGGCTAGTCAAAACATTGAGTTGAGATAAAAATTCTCTTTTAAGTTTTACGTTCCACATAGGGGAAAATTCAAAACACACAAACACAATGCAATTGAAAACAAATAATTAAATATTTTTATATTGTTTGCTGTCAAAAAAAATCTCTCAGTAAAATTCTTTTTCTCTCATTTCTCTAATATTCCTGTTTTTCAATCTAACTCTCTCAAAAAGGGTGAAAGACTCAAAATATACAATTTAAACACATGCAAACAAAATTGAGGTTTTTTTTTATTACGAAAGACCATTTGTGTTTTTTTTTAAACAAAACCAAATTACAAGAAAAAAAATGAGATAATTGAGAATATTTTATTGATTTTCCTGTAAAAATAGAGTTTGAGTGATGATTATGTTTGTATGATTCTGTGTGCATATTATTTTTCCTGTCTATAACAGTACAATTTACAATATGTGACGTGATTTTTTTACATTCTCAATTATTAGCAAATAGTTTTTCTCCTATTAAATTAGGCATTTCACATAAATTGAAACAATTTTTACTAAATTTTAAAATACTAAATTTTTTAAAATAAAATACATCTAAAAATTTTAATTTCAAAATAAAATTTCAGCAAAAAATATTTTAAAATTAATGTAATATACTTACATTGGCAAAAAGAAAACAAAATCTATTTAAACTTAGAGTATATCACATCAGAGACGGAGAGAAAACAAACTTTAAAGAGAGAAAAATACGTCAAAACAATATAAAATGAATATAAAAAAAAGAGCAAAAAATTTATAAATAAAAAATGTCAAATATTAGGAATTTATTAGCCGGCGTCTGAACTTCACTTTGATATAAAAAAAAATTAAGTACAAAAAATAAATAAAAAAAAAACATTATCGATTTATAGCAATGGTGCGACTGCTTTATGCTCGTCTCCAATAAAAATCTCTGAATTTTACAAATAAAATACATAAAGTTTTTTTTTATTATTAAATAACAACTTAATTTTTGCTTTTTAATTTTTTTTTAAATGCTTCTTATGTATTTTGTATATTATGGCAAACTTTATTTCAAGTAATATTTTAAAATTAATTTGAGAGGTTTCCGTCTCCACAATATTAACAGTGTTTATTGTACATTCATATTTAATTTTTTGTATATTGCATTGAAAATAAATATTTAAAATTAATTTCTCTATATTTAAAATTAAAACTAAAATCAAATGTATTCATACTAAATTTAGTTTAAGCAAAAAGAATATCATTATTTTATTTTACATAGCAAATCTTATGCAATGCGACAATTTTACGACAACAAAAAAAAATGTAGACAAAATTGTCTACTCGTAAGTAATAAAGATGGCAATGACGTCTATAAAGTATGTATGAAAAGAATATAATACCTAGAAGTATAAGTGAAAATACATAAAATGAAGACTGACTAAAACACACTGCACTTATTGAACTAATTAATCTTTTAATCCGAAATATTGCACAATTAATTCAGAAGATAAATTGTTTTTGTTTTTCGTATATTATGTTTCTTCATATTTTTTTCTTTCGTTCAATTTTTAATTCAATGTTTAATTCAATTTTTTCATATAATACGAACATAGACAATGCATTATTATACAAATATACATACGTCTAAGTTATTTGACTTTAATTTATGTAATTGTATTCAAATATGTATATACACTTATTTGTTATTTATTTTATATGATACATACGTACACACATAATCAAATATTATTTTATTATTAATGATTTAAAATTTTTTTAATGAGAAATTAAAAAATAAAATATGTTTAATAATACCGTTAATGAAAAAATTTATTTTTCTTTTATATTTAATTCTTATGTTTTTTTATATTTATTTAAAAAAATAAAAAATAATACTATATATCCGCCCGCATCTAAACCGATTGAAGGTTCTCAATAAACTGATTTATGGTAAAGATTTTATGCTCGCGATTTAAAAAAATTAAGAGATAAAAAAATGTTTTCTTTCAATATATACACTGTTATACTCGTATCTTTATATATAAAAATATATTTATCTTTTTACATTTCCATTTCCCATATCCAATTGGATTTTTGCTTTTATTCACTCACAATATTTTTTTCTCTGCTTCAAATCTCCAAATAGAGTGTTGTTTGCTTACAATTTTACATATAAAAATATATCTCACAAAGAGTAATTCAAAAACAACGAAGAGGTAATAAATATCCATTTATACTTACCTTACTACCTTACTAAAAATGTATCTGAATCTGATATAACATGTATACTTATGCATTTATATTGATAATGATTTAAAGATTTCAATCCACAAAGATTATGGTTGCTGAAAATATTTGTATGTAGTTGAAAATCATTTTGTAATTGTATTTATTTTGTAAATATTTATGAATATGCAAATAATAATGAAATTATAATTCTGGGAGAGAAAACGTTGCGTCGAATTGTTTTGAATTGATAATGTCTCAAGTATAATTCATAAAATTATGAAAAACAGTAATAAAATGTATATTATTATATCTTGAAAATTTACATAGTAAATGTTTTGTTTATTTCAAATGAATAGAAATTACACGAAAATGTTTAAAGTTTATTAACTAAGCAATTAAAAATTGTACTAAATCTTAAAAACTGAAATTTTTAATATTTAGCAATTTAAAGATATATAAGAGATCAAGAATATTTGATAAAATAAAATGTTGCATGAATTGATTTCATATGATAAAAATTAAATTGTAATATAATATAATATACTCTTATAATAATAATGAACGCACAAAATAGAAATTTTTAGTTTCGTAAAACAATAAGAACCAAAAATAAAGTATAAAAATACATTACATACTTTTAGGCGGTCATATTTGTTTAACAGATTTTCATATTGTCTAGACCCTTAATTATAATTCGGTATTTAAAATAAATAAATTAATTCCATGGAGAACCTGCTTTTAAATATAGCGGTGCGAAATTGAAAGTAGGTCCTATATTAACATATTGGGTTAAAAAATTTAACTAAAGGAGCTTAATTAGTTTCTTACGACATATTTTGGCGAACAACCAAACCACATTTTACTCATTGTTTCTTCTTTCGTTCATTTATTTCGTTTTGAAAAATTGTTTGGTATTAAGTATAGTGCACTGAATTGAATGAATACAATATTAAAATATATGACAGATGGGGCTATAATATAAAAAAAATTGATTCTTAAAAGTATGGATTGTATAAATATTCTAGTCGTTATTTGTTATTTGATTATTGTTACAATTATACATTAAGTACAAGACACTCATAAAATTAATGACTATTAAACTAATGCATACATTAAACTATGACCAAAATTTCGTATTCATCTCATGCCGGGTTCTGTCTGGGCAGTATTTTTTATTTAAATTATTAATTTCAAAGTAATTAGTACTAAAATATTGAAAGAAAACTGCAAATGTTCTTTTATTTTTTCATTAGTTTTTAAATATTACGCAATTTATTTTTCGTTTTTTATAATTGCATTTATTTTATTTCAAAAATTTTAATAAAATAAAAAGAAGGTAAGCATGCGTATTATTAAGCGGCATGATAATATGAAAATATAATATCAAAGAGATGAACAAAGAAGGCAATAATAAAGAACCCCCTTTTATCATAAGAACTTGTTTTTATTTCACAAAGGTAAGTAAAAATTTAACAGAGAAATGAAAAGTTTTTTAGAGGCAGCAATAAAAACATAATGTAATATTAATAATACCAAAAAGAAGAAATAAAAACAAGTGTAAATTCGTCGTGTAAGAGCTATTCGATTTCACATTTGAGAAACTCATCAAAAGTTCCTTCACACATAACGGTAATGTCAGCTCAGTTATTTTTTGTTTCTAATAAGACAACAATGAATTATTTTTCATTAAATACTCAATTCCAGATTTCTCTCTCTCTCTCTCCGTTTCTCCTTTTGTTTTTCTCTCATGTGCTCTTTTATTTCGAATACTATATGTTTTTGCTATGCGCATTGTAAAACAAATGTTGCAAAGTGTTACTGTATTTTGTTGAACAACATTTTGTGCAATGTTTTTAGTTATTTTTTTTTTAATTAAAAAATGAAAAATAATATATAAACATTTTCATGAATGTAGCATTGTGAATTCCTATTCGTGATGTCTCGTTTTGGTGTTTATGAGAAAAGGCTCGATGAGTACAATGCCATTTGTTTTTAATATTTTTTATTATTATTTTGTAACATGTCGGTAACAGTAGTGCATATGAATATACATTCTTGTAAAAACGAGTCCAACAACTAAACAAAACATAAACAACACCGAAACCAAAATAAAGCAGCATGTTAATATGAAACAGAAAAAGTTTGAAAAACAATAATTATTGTATTGACTATATACACATACATATATAACTTTATGTACACTTGAATATGCTCATGAAATTTGTTTGAACTGCCGCTATAAGGAGACTTTTGATTTTCATTTTATGATGTGATTTATGAAATGTTTAGGATATGTACTTCATATTTAATAGAGTGCGATTCGCATTCTACGATGCGTGCTTAAAAGTGTACAAAATTCTTCACCGATAAAATAAATTTGTAAAGGTTTACAAATGTAAACCTTTAGATGGAGCTTTTAATATTAAATCACTATAGTTTTACGCAATATTAGTGTTGGCATCATATGAAACTCATAATAAAAAGTTATGCGTTTACTTGTATTAAATCAAATTTGTCGACTTGCTTCTAAAAATTTATAAATAAAAATACAAATCAAAAGACAAAAAAGTGTTGCATATGATTTTGATCCTATCCAAAATAATACTTCACGGCAGACGGAAGCTTTTTTATTTAGAGCGGACCATTAAAAGCGTTTCCTTTTTACGTTATTATGGCATTTTGACAAAAGGAAAACATTCATATTTGAGCACACAATTCTCTGTCTGGCGAATAGTGTTGAAATTAAAGAGAAGATGTGATGGTCCTAGTTTGCCAAACGTTGTTTATTTGCTTATATATGGTATGGTTGGTTATATATATAGTTGGCTATAATTGGAGGACTTCAGCCTTCTAATTTCTATTTAATGTCCTTTAGATTTAGATTTAATTAATTTGGCTATTTTAACCTGTTGTTGCCAATACCTTATAAGGCAATAAAATTACGAATTATTGATATTAATTATATTGAATATTTTATTTAGAAAACTTGATAAAGTCAGAGATAACTTCAACAACTTTTCTAGATCTTTGGTCTTGCGTCTTCGAATATATTGTTATCGTAGAATTATATCTGTAGTAAAGTTATTAGAACTTAAGAAACACAATAAACAACTTGCATATAAGAATGTTTTTCTTCTGAATGTAATTTCTTCAAAAATAAAAACATATCTGATTAGTACTCTTAATATTTGTACATCTTGTAAAAATATTACTATTTTGTCAGGTTATGTTCTCAGTTAAACTAAAATTGTCTTAAAAAAATAAATTCATTCTTCAAGATAATTAGCTAAAGCAATTAATTTCTTAGAAAATAAACTGAATGCACATAATTACCATAAATATTACTCTAATTTTAAATCAATAGAGAACATTAAATGGAAAAAAATTCCATGAACCTTATTTTTATTGCGTAAAGAATGCTCAATTATATTTTTCTCATTTCCTTAATAATTTTCAAATTAAATATCAATTTAATTTATTTATGAAGTTTTTTCTTTATTTAAAAACGTTATAAATGTTCCATTATGTTGCTATACAAGTTATAAAACAAATACAGAGTGTTCGAAAAATTTGAAAACGTATCAATAACAAGAGTATATTGACATCTTTTTCTGACTCTGCAAAAATTAATTTTTCGAAATACAAGAAAGATTATCAATTCAATAGTTTTACTTTAAGATCTTTTATAAATAAGATACAAATTACCTAAAGGCCATTAGAATTGCATTTGTCAAACACATAACTTAAAGTTTATTACCCCTCTCCCCACTCACTTTCTCTAATTGTACAACAAAGATTTAAAAATGACATTTTTTAACTATTTATTGCAGCGAAACCATAAACATTTTTGCAAACGCAGGAAAGTGCAGGTTTCTTCTACCGCGGTATACCGTATTTGAACAACAACAAAATGACAGTTAAAATTTACCATCATCTAAAATCCGTTTTTCCATATTTGAGATTGTTTTTAGAAGCAGTATTTTTACTTGTTGACGGGAAAAGTGCGACATTACAAAACATTGGTTTGATCTAACTTTATAATCTATATTAAAGTGAATGTATAATAAAGAGCTAAATCTACAAAAGAAGGTTTGCATTTTGCTTAATTACTTGAAACATTCCCAACTTTTTCAAATTTCTTTATATTATCTTGAGCATTCACTAATGCAACACTGTGTATACTTATTAAAAGTCAAAATGAATAAAACATAAGTTTTTTTCATTTTACATAAATTATTTTCTTGATAGATATTATGCATGCAGCATGCCATATACTGCGCTTAAATGTTTGTTTATGTATTGTTATTATGTGTACAAACATATGTACATACACATTATTATGTATATTGCTTAACCATAAAAAATTTTTTGTTTCAATATTAATCGCACCTTATTCCATTATGTTTTTTTTTTATCTTTTAATTTACATACAAACCAAGTCAGCTTATTTTATCCCATCTCATTATAATTATATTTTGTATATAAACATAAATTTCCTGACATTATTATTCAATTCTAATGTAACAACAAAACAGATTACCATAATAATTAAAAACGAGGGATTCTTGTAATTCAACAGATCCGAAATATTGAAACTTTTGACCAGAAAAACAATAATAAAAGTGGAAAAATTGAAATCAAGAATAAAACATTTAAAAGGAAAATCTCAGGAGAGAAGCAAATAATTCTGAACCTACATTTAGTTA